GGGTGGTATTGAAATCACCCATGAGAACCAACATATTGCGCTGAGGCACCGCCGCAACAGCACGCCGAAGTTCATCCCAGAAGAGGCGGCGTTGTTTCAGAGTTTCTTGGACATTCTGAGGTCGCCACACAGTTTGGTATCCGTGCAAGATGTCTATGACCGAGTTTCTGACAGGGACGCGCGCATGGTGGAGACGACCCGGCACCAGAGTGCGATGTTGGATTTCGGCATCCTTGCACAGATGACTGTTGACCAGAAGGAGGAGGCCTGAGTTGCGGTCTGAGGCCGGCTCAGAAACAGCACGGTAGCCACTGATGGAAAACTCGGTTTCACCACCTGCCGGCCAATGCGTCTCTTGGACACTAACGACATCTGGCTTAAGGTGCTGTGGCTGCTCTGACAACCACAGTTTGAGTTCATCAAAGACCTGGGCCTGGCAGCCGCCGGCATTCCACGTCATCAAGCGCAGACGGCGACTGTTTCCTGACTTGGGTTGCTGTGGGCCGTGATCGGCACGCCGCTCAGGGCTCAAGGCAGAGCAAGGACGACCGAGGAGGGTCTGGGTAGTATGCAAGATACCTCTGTACTCGGTAATACCCTTGAGGGCAGCGCGACGAAGGGCACGCTTGAACGCCCGCTTCTGTATCCAGCCTGGGAAAGGCACAGCTGACGTGGTCTGAGGCGCATGGACAGCAGCTGTGGGATGGATCTGCGCCAGCAAGGCTAAGCCCCCTAGAGCAAGTGAGCAGATATGAGGCCGCGGCTGTGTTTGTGCTGAGGAAGACATGGGCCTGAAAGACGCGGACAGATCGTCCGGAAACACGTTAAGCGCATGGTCACAAAGCTTCACTCCTTGTTGTGGAGAGATGCAAATCGTTGCATGGTGAGTTCCTAGGTCCCCTGTGGGAGACCTAACCCTCGTGTCTGGGGAAGGGGTATCGTGTGAGGATTTATAAGCGTGGGAATCATCCCCCCCCCCCCGGAGTTGGGACCGGGGCAGCTACAGATCGCTCGGGGTCGGACAGTCGGCGCGGTGGGCCCGCAGAGACTGTACAAACATGAAAGGGTTCGGCAAGCAAGCGTCGGATAGACTACGCTGGTTTGAAGCCAAGGGTGGGCTGCAGGGGCAATGACAAGTGAGAAGCCATCTGGCCAAAACAACCTGCAAGAAAGAGACCCAGCTGTTTTCAGGTTCACATCATCAGGCCGTCTGTCTGGCGCGAGCGTCGCGCGCCTGAGGGCTTGAATACTTTCAGCTCGCAGTGAAGAAGACAGCTCATCTGCATCAAGCCAGCAGGGGGTCCACTGAGCTTTAAACATAACCTGAAGGCGCCAGCGGCCAACGCAGTTACGGGCAGGGCCTGAGCTCAGCTTAGATGCGCAAGGCCAGTGGTAGCTAGGCAGTGGCCTGGCTGATTTGTCGGTCCCGACAGGACCGGGGCAGCACGCGTGACCGCATTGCCGCCAGAGGAAACCCATGTTCAGCACGGTTTGCCCTGGCTGGTAAGGCAGCAGCCAGTTAAGCACGGTCCGAACCCAGCTGTACCGAGGCGTTAAGGATTCGACACAACGACGACAACGGCGGCCCCGGCAGGTGAGCCATCGGAACCTGGCCCAAGGGTGGCTACGACATGATTTGCCGGCACAAAGACTAGCAGGAATGTAGCAAGGGGTCGCAGAACATGCTCGCTGCTCACAGTTTCGCATGTGTAGTATGTACCTCTGCGTCGGCGCTGTTACGTGGTACTGCATACATTTACTGTGAGTGCATGAGCGGAGTGCTTCAGTTGCAGCACATACGGTGGCCTCCATGGCCCGCGGAGCTGCTGCGAGCGGTTTGGCAGCCAGTGGCCGACGCTGGGCCCGTGTCAGTTGCGCTGCATATGCAAGGCTGTACGCGAGCGACGGCCTCATCCCTTCAATGACCTCCACTACGCTGCTGGCGCAGGCAATCGCATCCATATGGCCCAGTACACTTCGCACACTGCTCAAAAGGGTAACGGTAGCTTTTTCACCTGTGGGTAGCGAAAACGGAACCCGAAAAAGTGTCCCATGTGCAACAGTCATACACACCGCGGTCAAGGTGAATACTTGTGACCTAACATGAGGCAATGCGGCACTCAGGACTGCATGAACGTTACTTGGGCTCTGTTTAAGGGGGTGAGTCCACGAGGCACCTGGCTTCGCATGACAGTGTTGCGGGGCCGTCCTGACATGTGGCACGATGTACACAGCGGGGGTGAAAAGGAGGGGTGACCCAAGAACCAACAGTCGACTAGGGGAACCCAAGCATGGCAGGTGACTACGAGGAGTACAACCGCAACGCTGCCTTGCTAAGGTGAGCGGCCTAGTGCCTCCTACAGGCGGAAAACATGTAGGCATCATCCGCGAGGGCCTGCGTTCGACCTCGGCGTCGCCATTGCAGCGCCGGCCCATAGAAGGCAGTAAGCCAACGCAAGTTGGCCAGCCTTTTGCCTGCCACTGCCTCCCGCAAGGATGCGGCCACATATCCAGCCAGCGCAGCGCCCGTTTTCCATACGTTCCGCAGATGGTCCCCGAGCAGCTGGAAAACAGCCAAGTCGCACATGAGAGGCAGGTCGGTGGTCTGTGCAACACCACACCATCAGAGCTTGAGTTCGGAAAGCGGCTGTCAGTACACGGCCAGCGCGACACCATGGTCCCTTGTTCACGACTCCAGCGCGGGGGCAGCCTGTGCAATGTATCTTCGACCCACACGTTGTGTGCCAGGCGGCGCTGACGTTGTCCGAACATGTAGTCCAGCGCGTCAGAAACACAGTCCATGAGGAAGAGCCTTGCGAACCCAAGCCTGGCATCGGCAGTTGCGAAAGCATGATCCACCATGTTGCGATCATCCAGCTCAGCATGCTCCAGATTGCGCCCATACTATGTGCCGAAGGTGCAGCGAAAAGGAGGTTACCCTTGCACACGGCAGCAAGGGGTCACCCCCATGGCGGCGGACGATCGGAGAAAACCAACCCCAAACAAGCACCCAAAGAAGCAGCACCCCCACGAACCCCGAAGCCAGAACCCAGCCAAGAAAACAGGGGCCCGAGCGATTCGAGCCGAGACACTTCGCTCCGGTCATTCTCAACATGCTGCAAAGCAAGATGTGGCCTGTACGGAGAAAACTGACACCAGACAGCTTTTTCAGCCGCCCATACGAAAACATGACTGCGCGAGTGTGAACCAAGAAGCCCAGATGAGCTTGCTGCAAAAGAGATGCCCTACAAGTGAGACTACCTGCCAGTACATATGCTGTGCTACGGCCCGCCCCGAGAGCCCACTTTCTTGTAACGAGGTCTTGAATGTTCTTCTGGCCAGTGCCGGTGAGACAGAGAACCCCAAAAATTGGGGTGGGTGGGTGAGGAAACTTGACTTTCTCGCTAGCAAGCACAACTCTAGAGCCAAAATGACGCACGAACATAGTTTATAAAACATACATGAACAAGTACATGATACGTTCTATAAACTAGTTGTGCTTGCTAGCGGTATAGCCGGAGGCTTCAAAAGGCTGCGAGCTTCGCTCCACGCTTTATTTTTTCTCAGGAGTGCCGGAAATCCTCACCAACGTCCACTCGAGGAAACAGCAACGATGCACAAAACAGGTTGATGGGTGGGACCATGTTACCCCAAATTAAACTACCCAGCAACCTCGCACCGGAAAAAACCCCAAACCTAAGTGAGGTTGTTCGGCACTCCCCTGCTCCGCACAGACCATGGAAGGTGAGCCCCTTCGGGGAAGACAGAAATTTTTGGACGAGGCAACCAAAGGGCCTCGAGTGACAACCGCACTCTGTCCTTTTCAAGGCAGTCAGGGGGAACCTCATACTCAGCAGGACGAGACAAAGCATCAGCCTTGACATTGCGTTCCCCGGAAATGTGTGACACATCCAGCGTTGTTCTATGTACAGCTGCCAGCAAAGAGATCCTTTCCAGGAAAAAACAGAGGGGCCGAGAGGTGGAGAAAGAGGCATTCACCCCTGCTTCTGCACCTGTGTTGTCTGATGCGGAACGTAGCTGCAAAGGGATTCTGGCGCAAGGTAAAAGAGAAGATGTTGCCAAAATCAGCGCCCCCTGGGCGAGCGCTTCATAGCAAGCAATATCAAGCTGCATATCCGCTTGCACGGGAATCTCAAGGGCCCTAAAGGCACTGTAGGGAAAAGTTTCGCGAAACCAGCCCACCAATGCAGCACACCGAGCCGTGTGCACTTGCATCGGCTCGTGCCTCAAAGGATGCGTTGCCTTGAGGGCGCATGCTGCAAAATGGGCACACATGCAAAAGCCAGTGTTCAAACAAGCCTAAAATGCGTACTGATTCGGGGCTCAATTTGCGCTTTGAACTGGATTGACTTGACACACGCATCCAAACTCGCCTGTCTGTAATGCGCACTCGATCCAAGTCAGACAATGTTGATAGATCCTGATGACGGACTGACAAAAGTGTGCTGTGGAGCGGAATTGCTGTACCTGGAGGGACCGACTTGAATTGCAGGGAATCCGTCAAGTGGTGACGAAGCTGTGGCCAAACATCTGGGGCCACCGAGTAGTTGGTAGCGGCGGGGCTGAAAAGATCATGATAGAAGGTGTACAGAAGTGACTTCATTGTCGGGAAAAGGTGCGCCGCCCAAAGAGCCAGCCCGACAAACCTCTCCAAATCCTTACGTGAAATTTTTGGATTACGCTGAAGGTCTTGAACCATCCCCAAAAGTTTTAACCGTTTCTCCTCTGCAAGCGACACAACACCGGAGGTGTAGCAGAAACACCACCCTATCCAATGAACCCGAGAGCTGACTTGAAGTTTCTTCCAACTCAAGGGTACCCCCAGTACCTGGAGGAAGAGGCAGATCATCGCCCCTGTTGCTGGCAAGACGGCTTCCGCCTGAGAGAATAGGTAGTCGTCCACAAACAAGTGGCCTGCATGGCTGAACCAAATCAAGATGTGCAACAACCGAAGCAGGCAGGAACCTAAGCGCCCCCACCAATGCTGCGCAAAGACCGCCCCGAATGGGGCCACGCGATAGAAGTACAAAGAATCTGCAAAAGCGAAACCTAGGAGACCCTGCTCGGACTCCTTGACAACGCATCTTTTGTGAGCACTTTTGACATCAAGAGATATGGCAGCTTGCCGCGAGCGGGTGCCCCGAAGGGGGAAACAGTGCATCACGTCCCTAACTGATGGCATATGCTGGACTTCTGGAACGTTGCAGCTTGCATTCGTGCCACACACTGAATTATCTAAGACCAACCTTTCCGAACGATTTGGCGCACGGACCACGGAGAGCTTCCCTATTGCCAGTGTACCCGGCCATTTTGCCTTAGCTGCCTCAATGTCGCCATCAAACTTGAAACAGAAGCCCTGATCAAGTTCCTCCTGAAGCAAGGCTTGAGTCACGGACAAATCAACTGAGGCCGAGCGCCAATTCTGCATGTGGATGGAAAGTGATACATCCTCAAGGTTCTCTTTTTGATTCGGCCAAAAACAATTTGACACTGGGATATCGTTGTTGTACCCCGTGGGGACGCCTTGCAAAAGGGATTTGCAAAGACTCACATCCGGATCACCACAAAAACAGGCAAGTGCCTCAAGCGCATGCAGATGCAAGGGTTGATGCTCACGGACCTTCCATGTATTTGCATCTGTCGCCACACCTAAGCAGGAGAAGAAGTCTTTGCGCGCATCTTGCACCTCCGACGCGGTGAAAAGGGGTTCGGGATTAGGCCAAGTGGCTTTAGCAAGCAGGCGTTTGGGGCCCTGCATGTCACAAACTTTCCCCAAAAGGTATGTCCGAAGATTTTTAAGCTTGTCCTGGCACAATGGGGTACTCCAATCCCCACAAGAGTGGCGACCTGCCCCACCCACGGTCCAACATCCAGGGCCTTGACAGGTACTAAAGCCGACGCGGTGGCAATAGTGTGTTCAATCTGTGCACCTGCAAGAAGCGGCCTGATGTGCAACGCGAATTCTTCAGCCAGGCATTGAGGGTACTTAGCCGTCTTACGACTTTTGAACGAGCCATCACTCTCACGTCCCTGCACGGACTCATGTGCATTGCGTCCGTGTTGACACGTCTGGCCCATCACGGACAGGGCTTGAAAGCTCGATGCAAACAACCAAGTTTTTGCCCAGTTCTCCCCAAATGCACAGGCCGGGAGGACAATGAGGGCTGTGGACCCACAGTGCAACCAGCCTTGAACGCACGATTCATCCCAGGACATAGCACCTGAAGGTTGCTCCAAATGGCCATGGCCCCCGGCCCCATGGACTGCTTGAAGACATTTGCACGCCCTGAAAAGCATCTCGTGACTTGTTTGTATACGAGCCTGAGCTGATGGGGGTAGATTCTCCAGGCCCCCTAGCTGGGTTGGTGTGCGGATGGCAAAGGGCGGACCTCCAAAGAGTTTCAGGCGGGAGTATTCCGAGCAGCAAGGGGATGCCGCACAATACCCCACAACACCTGAGCCACAGATGAACAAGAGCTGCTCGAAAAAGGTATTATCGAGAATGTCCATGCTGCTATCCAACAGGAAATCAACTGCAAGTGTTGGGAAGCCTAACTCCTGCACCGCTGAAGATAGAGGCTTCTCCGCGCCCGAACAAATGTCCAGGAAGATTCTTGAAGACTGCTGCAGCGCTGATTGAACTATGGCAGGCGAGGATGGTGGTGGGCGAGGTATTTGGGGCTGCAAGATCAAGCTGTGGTGAGCAAACCCTTTTGGAGAAGGCTTTCCCCAATTAACCCCGGAGCTAGGAACTGCCTGCTGAGTAGGAGGGCAATGGGCGGGTGTGGGAACCGGTGCTGGGGGCACGGTTCGTGGCTGGGGCCAAGGGAACCCCAAATCCCTAAGTGGATCACCTGACACGCCTGGGAGGGTAAAGGCCGTCAGCACCCATCTATCGCCAAATGCCAAAGGTGCACGGGGAACTTAAATGGCGCGTGATGCGTTGTGACGATCTTGCCAGGGAGAGTCACCCCAAGCTTGGGGATGAACTGCGGCACAGTGCCTGCTTGATCCTCAACCCAAAGGCCTCCATCCGAGTACGAACCTATACCCACTGTCAAGTTTGATGACCCCGGCAAATTTGCTGTGTCCTTGTGCGGGGACGTCAAGATGTTCCTGCTGACACACAAGGCATTCCAAGTCTCACCTGGGAACAGTTGGCACAGGAAACCATTAAGGCTTGCACACAATTGTGGGAGTGCATCTGTAACTGATGAGTGGGCCGAAGGATTCCCTAGGCGCACCCCAAAGTTCCAGTATCCTGATTCCCCCGGAGCCGCTGAAGTAACGCTCCTGGCAGGAAGCACGCGTGGAGGCCAAGAGGCTGAAAGCAATGCCTGAAGACAGGACTTAAAGTCGTGTATGCATGAAGAACCTTCTTCTGCGACATGTGTAACACCCACCTGCCCGGGTGTTACCGCACCCCTGGAACGACCAGGTGTGTTGCACGTGACATCACCCAACACGGGTTGTGACGGGATGTTGCCCTGAGGACATTGCAGTGCTGGCGACGACACAGGCCCAGCGTTTGTCTCCAACAAGGAGACCGATTTCGGAATCACATTTACAGGCTCGGCTGGCCGAGCTGCCGGCTGGATATCATACCCAGCAACACGATTTGCACCTGCCTGGTGCTTTGCTGAAAGAGGCTGTTGAGGTGATACTGACATACAAGGCGACGAAGGGTGTGACTGAACTGGCTCAGTGTGAGCTTGCAAAAGATGCGGGGCATCTGGGGGTGATACCTCTGTAGACTGCGAATCTGAATTCGGGAATTTTTGCCACGGCACAAGGGTAGGTTCGAATCAGTGAGGCGTCTGCTCATGCTGAGAGGCTGTGTGCGACTTGCTCCCGCACGCTGATCCATCCTGCTTGGGGTATGCACATGCATGAACAAAGGGGCAGGAGCCTCCCCTTGTGCAGCGGCCAATCTGCCACTGGACACACAGCCCTTTCTTCTCAGATCCCACTTGGATCTCTTTCACGAAGGTGATGTGTCTCCCTGGAGCGCCCTTGGGCTTACCGCCCTTTTCCTTGCCCCGGCCCTTGCCTAGGCCTTTCCATTGACCAACCTGCTTGCCCTTGCCTTTGAGATCAGGGCCGCGGGGGATGAACAAGGCTTTCGGACGAGCCTGCAGCAAGGTGCTAAGCTCACCTCTGATTTCAGTGAACTCATGCAACGCGTCATTCAAGCTCCAAGCTTTCTCACTGACTAAAGAATGGATGCTCTGCCAAATCCGACAATCTGCCTGTTGCGCTTCTAGGATTGTCGGTGCACGCAGTCCTGATGCTGGGTCGAAACGCTGGGACACAAGCTGGACAAACTTGCAGCTATAGGCTTTGAGGCGGGCAAGGTGAGCTGAGCCAACCATGGCTAACGCAACGTCATGCACTGCCAAGATCCGCTGGATACCACTGATCCCCATATTGGCATCGGTCACTTCGATTGTAGGCGGATCATCAAGGAGCAAGCTGGAAAGACCCAGCATTTCGAGCTTGGGCTGTTTGTGGGGTCGGGCAATCAACAACTCCGAAGCTTTCTCTTCCGTCATGCGATGTTTCCAAGCTATCCATTTATACTCCGAACGTGCCTCTTGATGGGCTGCGAGGGAAATCAGCCTCAAAGAGGGTAGAGTAGATGGATTCAAGACCTCACTTGGGTAATTTGCAAGGAATTGGCGCTTCATGTCGGACAGCTTCGTGGATGCAATTTTGGGAGCAAAACTCTCTACCCATGTCTCCAAAGTAGGATCTGCGTTGACTGGGGCCGGTAGAGCACTAGAGGAACTGGATGCTTGCATGCCCGCCCACGCTGCTTTGATTTGGGCTATCTGCAACCGAGACAAAATCTGACCTGGGAAGATCTCGGGGAGGGCTCCCTCAACTTCTGCCTGGGTTTCAACGACGTGTTTGAAAGCCGAGGCTGTCCAGCCCCGTGGCCACTTTGATGACCTCTGCTGCCAAGCCTTCCTTCGCCAGTGCACTCTCCAACTCGGAGTCAGCCATGTCAAGCAAAGATAACGCAGGGCTAATGTTGGTGTTTAGCGCTAGAACAATACTTGATACCTAGATAGGATGATAGAGCTTTGTTCTCGTGAGCTAGATGATCATGCTAAGCAACAAATCTGAAATGTACGAAACTTCCAGGGCGTCGCCTGACCACCACGTGAAACCCTTGCAAGACGCAACGTCCCTAAAGATCTTTCCCTTGGGGATTTGCTAGCCCAATCGAGCGCCTGCCTGCAGAAACACCCAGAGCATGTCAAGATCATAGCAGCAATCTAACCCTTGGTGAACATGTGCAACATGACAGCCTGCTGTTTCACTGATGCATACGCAAAACAACAACCACACTTTTCTGACACGAACATTGAAGCTCACTCCTCGGAACAACAAGATAAAGCTGCCAAGCATGCACCGCGTCTGCACAACCGACACGAAGATGGCACTGACGTGTGGATCATGAGCCGATCGGCCGGAAGAGTGGCACCACACTTTGCACGCATATATGTGCCATTGACAAGTGTGCCTGACAAAGCATCTGAAGGGCAGAGCACATGCAACACCGCGGTGCAGGAGCCCAGCAAGAATTCATCGGGTTCACCTAGGTTGTGCTCTTCGGCCGGGGGTGCCGAAGGTTCCTCCTCGCTCTCATCTGAAGATCCTGGGTCAGAGTGATACACGAGATCTTTGTCCAGCGCCTCTATGTCTGGATCAGGGGTGACTAATTGATTTTCTGCGACCTCCCAACTCCCATTACTGCTTTGAAGCAAATCATCACTGCCATCAAGTTGAAACGAGAACCACTGGAAGGGTTCAAACTCGTAGTCCTTAGAGAAAGCTTCCGGTGGAACGTACGCTGGCGTCAAGGGCTGCTGCCCCCCTCTGTGCTGGGGGACCAAAAATCGGAAGCCTGTGCGGATGCTATCACGAATGCAAGATTGGCACCGAAGCATGCCATGAACATCGTCACGGGAATAAAGAGCGGAGCTGCTTATGCGGTGGTGCCCTTGACGTTTCCTATCAACCTCATCAACATTGACTTGAAGGGACATGGAAAGCATAGTGGCTTTGAGACTATGCACTGTGAAATTGAGGGGCGGTACCTCTGGTGGAGAGGACGCCCAAGGCATGAGGAGAAAATGCCTCAACCACCTCAGCGCCTCAGCATAGCTCATAGCTTGCAGGGGGAACATGAAGCTTTCGCCTTGCACTGCTGGAAGTAAGAACGATGGAAGCCACGATTCTGTGTGGTTTCGAACATGCATTGAAACAAGCCTGTCAAGGGCATGCAGCTGACCCAAGAATGCGTCCCGCGAGACAGAATACCTGACGCAAGGATGCCCCAGGGCTGCCCGGTGTGACATGTTTTGGTCGCATAACACGTACCACGAAGGACATGCAAGTCAAAAGATAATGAACTCCACTCCACGCGTTGAAGATCTGCAAATCGCAATGAACCCCAGGCAGCAACCAAAAAACCACCAAGCACAACCACTTCAAGAAGTGACGCCTGCTTCATCAAGATGCGCCTTTCCCACAGCTGAAGCACCCAAGTGGGTAGTGGGAAACTCTCACGGCGTTCACGAGGAATTTTTGACTTCAGAAAGGAACCAATCACTTTTTCGTACGCGCACGATAAGATTGTACATTCTGCGACTTTGCATAGCCAACGAAGTGCTTTGATTGTCATGCAACAGCTTGAACCCAGAGTAGGGTCTCCATGCTTCTCAAGGGACATGGTGACTAGTATGTCTGCCATCATAACACTATCAAGATTGCCAAAACAGAGGCCTAGCCCTTCAAGGTTCGCCACAAAGTGTGACCAAGCTGCCAGGTAACGGAGCACCGTGTTCGTGGCATACCCGGAAAGAATCCGCGAGGTGTGATGACTGGCAAATTCGGAGCACTGGATCTGCTTGAACAATCCACTACAATCACCCATAAAAACAAGAACACCCCAAAATAGTGACAAGGCCATCTGGGAGAAACCTGCAATCTGCTGGAACTTGGGATGGTGGGGATCGGCCGCCTTTGCGGGCTTTCGCTTCGAGACAGCTTTCAAGAGGAACGATGAAGTACTCTGCTGCTGTTGGTTGGACTCTACAGAGAACTGCCGAAACCTGGCAAAGTGCCTGGCTGATTCTTCTTCAGCATCAGAATCACAATCGCTCCTGCTGGACGTTGCAATTGGCAATAGGAACAGGCAGAGGTTGCCCGGCACGTGGAACTGGCTCAATGTGTCGTCCCTGGGAGTACAAAGGTTGGGCAAGACCTGCCGACGGCAGAGGGGGAGCGGTTCCTTTAGGTTTGTCAACTGGTAGCGCAAGCCCCCCCAGGGGTGGTGGTGCACACTTGCTCTTTGCCTTACTGAAATGCTTATCATCAGGATCCGTCGGGCGTTTCATCCTACAACCCTCTAGTCTTCAATCAAGCTTTGCCAAAAACCTGGAGGCCTTGGGAAGCTGGTCTGAACTGCACGCACAAGAAAGCTGAAGCAACTCTCAAGGTGCAAGAGCCGAACAGAAAGGCAGCCGATGCTACTGGTGCCAGTATGGCCGCGCAGATCCCGACGGACCCTCTGATCTTCCTGCTCGATGCGATGCACACGCTCTTCCAAGACTGCAATGTGTGTGTGAAGGGCTTCCAACTGGCTCTGCAACTCGTGAACTCGAAGCTGCAACTGATCTGAAGAGGCGTCAAGCCCAGCACACGATGCTTCCATGCACTCACTTTGGAGTGAGCCCGCTCACCCCTGGAGCATCGTTGAAAATGAAAACTAGGCTGAATGCAAAGGTTGCCAAAACACAAACCAAGCACTTTGGGAAAACATGGATGAGAAGACTTCCCATAAAGAAAGCATGCCGTGGACAAACTTGACTTTCTCGCTAGCAAGCACAACTCTAGAGCCAAAATGACGCACGAACATAGTTTATAAAACATACATGAACAAGTACATGATACGGATCCATCGGGACATCATGCGCATCACCCTCGGGTGCGATCTGACCATCAGACGCTTCAGCTTAAAGTGAGTGATGCATCATTGTATGCGAATGTCAGCATGCTACGAACCGTATGCGGGTCGGAAACTGGCCCAGCCAGACCTCCATTAGCAGCTAACGATCCCACATCTTCTGCGTACTCTTCAAGGAACCACTTGCCTGCTCTCTCACACAAGGTTGTACGCTTCCAAAGCACTTCAGTGAACGGGGCCAGTGTGGTGTCAACAAAATTATTGGTATGCGACTTCAGTACGTAGCACTCAGGGCCAACACGAGTCCATCCCCGCCTTGCATCCATTGATGTGAGGCCTTCTTGCAATGCGACCTCAACTGCACGGATGCTTGGACCTGATGCACACACGGTGATGCCAGCTGCAGTGGAAATAGGGCAGACGGACTGAGTGGAGCTTGATCCCTGCGGATCACACACTGCAACACCTCCTCCATTAGGCATTAAAGATCGTTTTCAAATTATCTCAAGTAAGTGACCTACTGGTGTCCTGAAACACGGGGACTGAGTGGAGCTTGATCCCTGGGGATCACATAGTGCAACACCTTCTCCACTAGGCATGCCTTGCATTGAGCCTCGAACACGATTCATGGCTCCACCGGTGGCACTGCAACTCAAGCCTTTCGCCTCGCTTTGACTCAGCAAGCGGATGGAACCTTGTGCACAAAACGACTGATGCCTGTACCCAATCGGAATGCTCGTACTTGCATCCGTCAAGCAAATGCCTTCACACTCAGGCTTCACGAACCATCCAGCTTTTGCAAGCTTACCTAGGCAAACCAAAGGACTGGTAACCCCTGATACCACGAACCTCTCGTAGAACTTCAGTGGTCCTATGGTGACTTCAGCAATCCTCGTGTCTTGCACGCGTAGGGGATGACCCTGTGCATCAGTGTACTGGACGGATCGGGCATGGGGATCAGACACTCCTGCATTGGCGAAGGACAAGGGAAGAGCAGAGACATCTGCTCCAGAGTCCAGTATGATGTCCACATTCCCTGACTGCAACACCTCAGGCACTTCTCGCACATGCTGATGCTGACACGTCAACATGCGAATTGCATAATCATCGGGCCAGTAGCCTGCTGCCACCTCATCTTGCATTCCGGACTCAAGATCACCCTCTGAAAGGTCATAAATCGTGAGATTCACTCGATCATCGTCATCCATGGTGTAGGCTTGTGTGCCGGAGAACGACACTCTCCGGACTGCGGCACTCTTGGCATTGGGATTCAAGGACGCTTGACTCAGGGCATTCAAGGACGATTGACTCGGGGCATTCACGTGGGAGCTCGAAGAAGATGCAGCTTCAGCTTGGGCGATTTGCTTTAGCTGGGGGCAATCACGCTTCCAGTGGCCGGATTGACCACAGTGCAGGCATGCGTCACGACCTTTGCCTTGGCCTGGTCCACCTGATGCACCCTGCTTACCCCCACTTTTCTTACCCTTCTTAACTCCCTTAGGCCCTCCTTGACCCTTTTGGTGGTCCTTGCCTCCTCGTTTGCCTGCACCCCATTGACCCCTGCCACCTTTGCTGCCTCTGCCCTTTTTGCCATTTTTACCATCTCCATACTTGCCGCGCTTACCATCTTACCACGTTTGCCACCCTTAGTCTCTTCATTAACCCGACTTATGTCCATTGGCGCTGGACCATTCGGATCAGCTGCATTGCTGGTTCCCAGCTCAAGGTGAACCCTGCTGTTCGACCAGGTGGTGGTCACGGACTCGTAATTCATCACGGCCTCACGTATGGTGTCATATGATGAAGATTCAGTCATTTGCAGCTGTATGTGTTGACGCAGGTGATTGGGCAACACACGCACAAGCACACCCATCTGCACGTCAGCACCTATTGCTGATCCAGATACCTTACGGTACTCATCCGACACCCTTTCTAGAGCATTGACCTGCTCTCGGAAGCTTTTGTCTTTGGTGAAGGCTGGATATGACATGTAGGCACTAAGGAGTGCCAGGCTGCGTGCACGTGTGCGTGGGGCGTATACTGACTGCAGCTGCCTCCACAGCTCGAAGCCGTTCTGCTCAGGTATGGATCTTAATATGACAAGCGGGCGACCCTTGAGCAACCCTGAAAGGATCGCGTAAAGGCGTCGGGCACGGGGCTTGGTTGACTCAACCATGTCAGCGATGGTCACCACCACATGCGGACTGGTCTCTATGGTGGCTAGCTCCTCACCGTATTCAGGTTCTGCATAGATAAGCCATGATTTGAAGGAATGAGCGAACTCTTGCCATTTTGCAACGTCACTCTCATGTGAATCATTTCCCCCAAAACCTTCAGGATAACGCAACACCTTTGATGCATCACTGTAGCCTGCAAACTGTCTGTCACTCGCGGCACGCTGTGTGGCGGATGACATTTGCTGCACCGCCTGTGCTGCACTATGCGCTGCCTGGCTGGCCGTTTGGATCAATGCAGCGACCTGACTCGGATCTGCGAGAACTACTTGGGGCTGTCCTTGCTGCACACCATCACTCGCTCCAATCTGGTGCATCTGAACATCTGGACCTGCTCCGGTCGGTGCGCCTGCTTCTGCTACGGTCTGACCTTGACCTGCAAGTTGGGCTTGTTGCTGGGCTTGCTGGGCTTGGTGGGCTGCCTGCTGCTGGGCAGCGTGCATTGCGGCTTGAGGATCCATTGTAGGAATGCTCGGACTTAGGGTGTGTAGGGGCTTCGGCACTTAGGGAACCACCTAGGGTACCCCAATGGGCCTACCTAACCCACAACCCACACGCTGGGCTGACTCCTGCGAGTCACACACGCTGGCGGTTGGCTAGTCTCAAGAGAGGATCCCAAGGGACGATTGAACCGGGTCTCACCAACAGGTTGGTAGGGTGAGTCGCGTAGGATCACAAACACAGCAGACAAGAAGGGCTCAAGTAGACTATCTTCAGCACTCAGGACTTTGCAACCGTATGCAATGATCTTCGCTGCTGACTCGATCTGCTCAAGCTGGTCAGTGACACTCTTCCTCTTCTGCAGCTGCCGTCTCTCAAAGCTCAACTGACTCAACGTGGGTGTCTTCTCTTTACCCACTTGAAGCTCGATGTACCACTCGATGACAGTAGCTCTCAGCTTACGAAGAGTTGCAGGTCTATCCCAGTACACAAGCTTACACGCACCTTGGTCAGGCAACGGCGTGGTGTAAAGAGCGCGGAGGGCTATGGCTCAAAGCTACAGCTACCCCAGGCCCAACCTACACTACAGCACGGAGGGCTATGGCTCAAAGCTACAGCTACCCCAGGCCCAATCTACACTACAGCAGATAGGTTCCAGTCTGCACTCAGAGCACCGTCACCAAGGAAACCAAAGGAGTCCCTGGTCAGTAGTGCTCCGCTACCATGAGAATTTTCCTGATACTTTCAGACGCCTGCCGGGATCACAACATACTGCACTGGAGATCACAACACAACATGACTTCTCTACCAAAACACATGTGGCCCAACGTGTAAAACGGGTGCACCAAAATGTGCCCATGTAGCTATGTACCAACTTTTGCAGAAAGACATCTCAGCCACTGAGGCCACCTGAAAACCCAAAAGGTCGTCCACGTATAGGGCTTGGAAATGCGCGATGTAAATCAGGAGGTGCAAAGTACGAACCAAGAATGCACCCAGTCGCGCAAACCAATACGCCGAAAAGGCCGCCCCAAAGGGGCAAACAGAATAGAAGAAGAATGTATTGCCCACACGCACTCCAAGCAGGCCTTGTTCAGATCGGCGAACTCGAATGGATTTGTGCGCGGCTTTTACATCCAGTGACCATGCAGCAATTTGCTGCCTCAGGCCCCGTAGTGGCCAAGCGGACAGAATGGACTGTAAGGTTGGCAATGCACTTCGTTCTGGGATTGAGCAGGCGGCGTTCGTACCACAAATGGAAGAATCTACCACCAGTCGAGGGTCCCTGCCTTCAGAATGGACGATGTTCATCTTGCCCACAGCGACCTGTGGAAAAAGCCGCTTCGCCTCATCAAGCGACTCAACTTTGTGCAACCAGCCCTTGTCAACCTCCTGTTGGACCAGTCGATCCAGAAGGACTGGATCGTCTTCGGCACTGCCAGTTCTCCTGGCAGACTTGCAATGACTCGTCCGTACCAGCTTTGCCTGACTGCGCCATGCATCCCGACGGTGGTATGTCGTTTTTGAAGCCAGTCGGGACACCATGCAACAAACAGCTAAATAATGTAGTGTCCACATCCTGCAGGAAATGACTTAATGAAGCGAGTGCATGCAGGCAGTATGGCTGGCCTTCTGGAATGCTCCAATCGACCTTTCCCATGTTCTCCGAGGAGAACCAAGCTGACAACTCGTCTCGCAGCTCCTGCGCCTCTTGCTCTGAAAACAATGGAGAATCTGACTTTGTCCGCAAATGTTCGCGCAAGCGCGAAAGAATAAGCTTCTTTCCACAAAATGACAATGTATGGCGCAACATTTTGAGAACATTGCTGCGACCCTTTGCCGGGCCGCTCCAATCTGGGTCCCGGTTGCTCTGCAGACCCCCACCATCTACCCAAGCGTGGGGAGCTGCTTCTAGCTCTTTCACCGGAATACATGCCCATGCACTCTCGACCGACGCACCGCCCCGAGACTGGGATTTCGAAAACCCCATGCTGCGAAGCAAATTGCAAAGCGAAGCCTGCAGCTTCGGAGGGTATGCCAGTGATTTAAACTGCAATGTACAACCACGTCGCATGCAAATTTCGCCAAAGCTGGCGAAAGCCTCGGAAGTTGTGACAAACAGCCATGCAGGTCCACAAGGCTCACCAAAGGCGCAAGGTGGTATCGACCCAATGCATCGTAGAAAAGATGATACAGAATGTTTGAAAAGGGGGGCATCCCAGCATGATGACCACGCTAAGACATCCACCACCACATGTGCACCTGAATAGAAACTGACATGGCACAAATGCAAAGCCCACTCAATAGCAGACTGAGGCCACATACAATGAACTCGCGCCATGACAAAAGGGAAAACACCCTCCGCTGCCGCCCGAAAGACCAGATCCTTAACACCACTTTGCCCCACCGGATCAAACTTGACGAATGGCAAGGCCTCCGCGTCCAGTGCCTGAGCAGCAGACAAAACCGACTCGGTGAGGGAGCCAATAAAACTTGAATCCCGAGTTCTGGCCATAAAAAAAGTTGAAGCTTTTAAGCTTTTTTTTTCAAAGGTTGCTACTGGGCTTAATACAGCTGTCAGACTAGCAAGATAAAAACACATGTTGCACATGCAGAGTTACTTGAAGCTGCAAAGAACCCTTTTTGCAAAGCAGCGGCTGGCAATTGTAAGCTTGCACGAAATAAGGAGTAACAGGTCTGACACAACACAGTGACATTGACGGTGAAACTTGGTCTGACTTAGGAACTTGCCTGGCAAAGCCTTGACGGGAATGTTGCCTAGCAGAATCTTGTCGTACTGTTAGGAGCAGACAATCATCCGCGCTGCACTCACTCATCAGTGGCCTTAGAAACTGCAGCAAACTCAGGCAATGATGTGACGTTCAAAAAACCAGGACAAGGGGGCCTTCCATGCCAGAAGATGCTGGGTACCGACTGAAGAAGTGTTCACTCGTCCAGTCTGACAGGCCACCTGCAGAAACCCAGCACGCGCATCAGCGCTTAGCCGTGCTGTCTGATGCCGGACCAAGGCGTGTTGGCCAAAATCTCGCAGGCCCTTCCCAGCAAAATCAGCCCCACACCCGGCCAACGGTGTAAGAACCGGCACTTTATACCTGGTCCGTGCTCGGTCCTTTGGTAGGGCGTCTGACTCAGATGCAAGAAGCAGTTCATCAATTGAAATTTGACTGAAAGGATAATTGAATTTTCATTGTCGGACACACGCAAACTGCAAATAGGCGGGAGTAACACATGTGTGAAGCAGCAGTCGAAGTAATGGCCTTCCACGCCAGAGGATACTGGGGATCGTCAACTGGATAGATGTTCGTCCAGTCTGACAGGCCACCTGTGGAAACCCAGCACGCGCATCAGCGCTTAGCCGTGCTGTCAAACGCCGGACCAGGGCGTGTTGGCCAATGTTTCCCCAGACCCTTCCCAGCACCCTCAGCCCCACACCCGGCCAACGATGTGAGAACCGGCACTTATACTTGGTCTGTGCTCGGTCCTTTGCGTCTGACTCAGAACCCAGCGGGCGAGAAATCTGACACTGTGCCACAATCACGTCCGTTTACTTGTATTTAACCAAAGCTGGAAAATCAAGCTGTCAGATCACTGACACTCGCAAAATTTCAAAGAGACGGCAGTAACAGTAGTAACACGTGTCAAGCGGCCTTCCATGCCAGAGGATGCTGGGTACCGACTGAAGAAGTGTTCACTCGTTCAAGTCTGACAGGCCACCTGCGGAAACCCAGCACGCGCATCAGCGCTTAGCCGTGCTGTCTGACGCCGGACCAAGGCGTGTTGGCCAAAATCTCGCAGGCCCTTCCCAGCACACTCAGCCCCACACCCGGCCAACGATGTGATAACCGGCACTTTATACCTGGTCCGTGCTCGGTCCTTTGGTAGGGCGTCTGACTGAGACCAAAAGCGACTGGCAAGCCTTCTCGTCCAAAGATTTAAAATTTGAGTCATTATTAATCATCTGACAGCATTCGCACACAACAGGCAAAACCTTGAATTTGCAGTCTCGGAAAAGCTACGACGACTTGTCAGAGCTAACAGACACACAGCCAGCAACCCCCAGCCCAAAAGCAGTAAGTCTGTAGGCCTTCCATGCCAGACGGTGCCGGGTACCGACACAAAGAATGTTGCACTCATTTCTGTCTGACAAGCCCACTGCAGAAACCCAGCATGCGCATCAGCGCTTAGCCATGCTGTCAAACGCCGGACCAGGGCGTGTTGGCCAAAATTTCCGCAGACCTTTCCCAGCACACGCAGCCCCACACCCGGCCAACGATGTGAGAACCGGCGACTTATACTTGGTCCGTGCTCGGTCCTTTGGTAGGGCGTCTGACTCAGAAGCAAGCACCCGAGGAGTCTCACACTGTAGCAAGAAGCAAGTCCGTTCACTTTTCACCAGTCAGACGCCTGAGATTGTGTCTCACACGCACAATGACAAAGCTGTAACAGGTGTCAAGCAGCAAATCAATGTCCAAGACTTACGACAGCCTTCCATGCCAGAGGAGGCTGGGTACCGACTGAAGAAGTGTTCACTCGTCCAGTCTGACAGGCCACCTGCAGAAACCCTTACCGCTTGTTCCAAATTGGGTTTGAACCCAAAAGCCAAAAGCCTAACATGGAGACTCGCAAGACACAAAGCAGGCGCTGCACGCCACTCACATTTTTTCATCAGTGGGCGAATCATTAATCACATCCTGTCACGTGCCGGTGCACACAACGCGGTGCACATACATTGCACATGCGTCTCACCATACCCTAGCGAACCTCAAGCCCCCTTTGAGGGCGAGGCAACTGTACATGCAACACTAATGGAAGTGCCGATGGCACACAGGGAGTTGCAGCCGCTTCAGCGGGCCCTGTTTGTCATGCCCTGGGTGGGCCGGGCGGGTCAAAATTTTTCACTGAGCTGTGGAGCCAGCGCTGCACCCACAGAGCTCCAGCAAACGCATTTGCAAATTGTCGTTCGCAACACCAGGCATGTCAAGCATCAGAA